TGTAAAGTGGTGCACATTAGGATAAAAAATCCCAACTTCAAGGATAGGCTAATTGGGTCTGAACTTGCTAAGACTGAGAGGGAAAAAGATCTTGGGATTGTAATGGATAGCTCAATGAAAGTGTCACCCCAGTGTGCTGCAGCAGTGAAAAAGGCAAACTCTGTGTTAGGGATTATTAGGAAAGGGGTTGAGAATAAAATGGCTGATATCATAATGCCCCTGTATAGATCTATGGAGTGGCCTCATCTGGAGTATTATGTACAGTTCTGGTCACTATATCTCAAAAAGGACATTATGGAGCTGGATAAACTACAGAGGAGGGCAACCAAGATGATTAAGGGGGTGGGGCACCTATGACTGGGTGGGTGCCCCGGCCTTGGGCACTCAGCGCCAATTTGCTGTAGCAACCTCAGCAGGGTATAATGACACAGACGGCACCATTTTCTCCAGGGGAACTGATCTCTGCAACCTGAAGAACAGTTGTAATTCTGAGTGATCTCCAGCCTTCACCTGGAGACTGGCAACAATGGTTCTCCAGGAGAAAATGGCTGGTTTGGAGGGTGGAGTCTATGGCAGTGTACCTATCTGAGAGCCCACCCCTCCTCAAACACCACCCTCTCCAGGCTCCACCCCTCAAGTCTCCAGGAATTTCCCAACCTGGAGGTGGCAACCCTATCTCCTTGCCAGCCAACAATCAACATACCATTATCTGTCCCTCTGACTTCAGGTTTCCGACTCCTCCTCCCTCCCTGCTAGGAAAAGTATCTAGGAAAAGTACAGACGTTCTCCACTGTGGGGCCAAAGCAGCTCACATCATTCCTCTCTCCCCCTTTCGATCTACACAACAACCCTGTGAGGTAGGTTAGGCTGAAAGTCTGTGAGTGGTCTGAAATCACCCAATCAGCTTCCACAGGAAGAACCTGGGTCTGGCAGACCCTGCTCTGAAGTGCTAACTGCCACGTCACACTGGCTGTCATGTGGGGTCACCTCAGCAAGGTTTTAATGAAGCTTTTTCAAAGAAGAATGAACATTCCAATCTGTTCGGTATCAAAAATTAAGAGGGAACATTGCAGAAAATGTATGGAATGACACAGAGTCCACCATTTTCTCCAGGGGAACTGATCTCTGCCATCTGGAGAGCAGTTGTAATTCTGAGTGATCTCCAGCCCTCATGTGGAGATTGGCAACAATGGTTCCCAGGAAGAAATGGCTGATTTGGAGGGTGGCGTCTATGGACCCACCCCTCCTCAAACCCCACCCTCTCCAGGCTCCACCCCTCAAATCTCCAGGAATTTCCCAAGCTGGAGTTGGCAACCCTCTCTCCTTCCCAGCCAACCATCAACTGGAGGTGGCAACCTCTGCCCCTCTCACTTCAGCTTTCCATTCCCCCCCACACACAGCCTCTACCTAGGAAAAGTACAGTCTTTTTCCATAGTGGAGACCTAAGCAGGAGAGAAGCAACCTCAGCAGGGTATAATGACACAGAGTCCCCCTCAGTGGCTGTTGCTAGGCAACCCAGCTTGGTTCCGTCAGTGAAAAGACAAAGGCAGGAGGCCTTTTCTAGGCCTACTTTGGCCTTTTTGGGGAACTCATTGTGGCCAGTCCTGAAAAGCAGCCGTTTTCTCCAGGGGAACTGATCTCTGCCATCTAGAGAACAATTTTGAACGGAGTGATCTCCAGCCCCCACATGGAGATTAGCAGCAATGGTTCCCCAGGAGAAAATAACTGCTTTGGAAAGTGGACTCTATGGCATTCTGTTCAGCTGAGGCCTCTCCAGTTGGAAAGTGGATTGAAAGTGGATTATTTAGTGTTGTGATTGCAGCCAAAGAGAACTTTTATTCCCTTTCCCAAAATACTAGAACTCAAGGGCATCCAATGAAGCTGATGGGCAGTGGGCTCAGGACAGACAAAAGGAAATACTACTTCATAAAGAGAGTGATTAAAATGAGGAATTCACTGCCAAAGGATGTAGTGATGGCCACAGGAATACACAGCTTTAAAAGGGGATTAGATAGATTTATGGAGGATGAGTCTATCAATGGCTAGTAGCCATGGTGACTGAAGGGAACCTCCACACTCAGAGGCACTAATCCTCTGAAACCCAGAGCCAGGAGGCAACCTCAGGGGAAGGACTTGGCTTCTATGCCCTGTTGTTGGCTATCCAGAGGACTGGTTGGCCACTATGTGAGGCAGGATGCGGGACTAGATGGAATACTAGTCTGATCCAGCAGATCTCTTCTTATGTTCTTATGCAAAGTCAAGCAGCCCAGGTAGTCTTTCATATTTACTTCAAAGGGCAGAAATACCTCTGTTACTGAATGGTTGGAGGGCAGGTGAGGGTGCTACTTTTTTTTTTTTAAGCCAAGTGGGTCTTGGCCTCATTTGTGGCTGGATGGGAACTACTCAGGGGAAATCATGTTTTCTTTTTTGGCCCGGGGGGGGGGGGGGATATGAAGACAATTTACAGAGAAATACATGACTCAACTCCTGGGCCATCTCTATGTGACGCAGCTCACTTCTGGCAGGGGTACTATTAAAGGCTGCAAATTGCCAATTATTTAGGTTGTTGTTATGTTGTTACCCTCAGAATGTGAGATTTCTGCCTCAGGCACCAAATAGCCTTAGGCTGCCTGTGTCTTCCTCACATTTATTTTTAACAACCTTATACTCAGAAAATTAGTTGGCAAGGCTTTTCTTTACCTAGCAATAAAATGATGGGGTAAATACAGAAGCCTGTTAGGGAAATATGGCAGCAAATGTAGCTCTTCCTGTTCTGGTGCTGCCGTACAGGCCATCCTCAGAAATACTCAGATCTCTCCCTGAAAAATTAATTGGGGGGAGAGCAGAAAAGTGAGGAATTAACTCCTATTCTTTTGAATAAAAGCAAGGCAACACTGTGGCAGACAGAGCATAGACATGTACCCCAGCCACACATGAGCCATGAAGAGCAATGACCCGACCAATGGGATCTAAGAGGGGGAGGTAAAATCACATAGGTGTTTAGGGTTGAGTGTTAGAGGCTGAAAACTGTCAGTGAGAGAGAAGGGTTAGGGGAGCGGTAGCACAGTGGGTATATCCCACTGTCTTAACATCCGAACTGTGTTAGTTCGAGCCCCGCGCTGGTGTGAGCAGCCAGCCTGTTGTCCCCAGCTCATCGTCCACCCAGCGATTCGAAAGCTTCGGCGAGTAGATAAAATGGGAACCACTCCTTAGAGAGGGTGGGCACACCAATCTCCCTTGTGGGAGGGTGTTAGCTGACGGTCGGGACGTCCTGGTCGAGGTTCAGAAAAGGCGGAAGAACTTCTTGCCGACAAAAATCCATGCAGTGGATGTTTCCGGCCAGGCGGTGGCAGTGTGGCGATTTGACATACGGGTCCTGAAGCCTGGTCGACCAGCAGCCGTTCAGAAAATGACAGAGCCAAGCCAGAAGACGTTTACACTGTGCAGTGACAGCGTGTGCAATTAAATGAATATATGTTGTCTTCCCTATCCCCTATGAACATTGTTAGTCTTAAATGTGTAACTGTACATCGCTTTGAGCCCACTGGGGAAAGCGATTAATAAACTGAAAGTATTATTATTATTAGGTTAACAGAAGTAGGGTTGGCAGCTCTAGGTTGGGAAGTAACTGGAGATTTTGGGGGTGGAGTCTGAGGAGGGTGGGGTTTGGGGTTGACAGGCCTCAGCTGGATATAATGCCAGAGACCACCCTCCAAAGCAGCCATTTTCTTCAGGTGAACATATCTCTGTCGCCTGGGATTCAGTTGTACTCCCAGGAGATCTGCAGCCACTACCTGGAGATTGGCAACCCTAAACAGAAGTGTAAATGAAGGCTCTGTGGAGAATAACAGATCTCTGGTTGTTTCCCTGGAGTATACAGCCGTGTTGCTGGGTCTGGTGCATATAACACATTGTGCTTTCACACAGATGGAATAATGTGTTTTCAATCTGCTTTCAGTGCACTTTAGCAATTCGTAAGTGAATTTTGCCACTTAACACAGTAAAATCCAGTTGCAAAGTGCACTGAAAGTGGATTGAAAGTACATTGTTCAGCATGTGTGAAAGCTCCAGAAGAGTTTTAAATCTGTCTGAGAAAAGGCTTTCCATAGGCCTGTACTATTTGAAATCTAACATCCCACAACTGTTCTGTCAAGCCACAGCTAACTTCTGAACTGTGGGTTCAGAAATGCCTGGCGATTTGGGGGGTGCAGCCTGAGGATGGTGGGGCTTGGGGAGGGGAGGGACTTCAGTGAGGTATAATGCCACAGAGACCACCTCCCAGAATGGCCGTTTTCTCCAGCTGGTGAACTGATCTCTGTAGCTAACCACCTGGAAGTTGGCAACCCTACACATAGGTTTTCAAGTCAAGAGATGGACAGAGGTGGTGTGCCATTGTCTGGATTTGCATAGTAACCATTGGCGGTCTCCCACCCGAGTTCTAACTGGGGCCAACCCTGCTTGGCTTACGAGATCTTGTAAGGTAGGACTAGCCTGGACCATCCAGGGCAGGACCACCGCTCCCAGTTGAATGTTAATATTTACCTCAGTTGTGTGTTTCTTTCAGAATAAACTTTGTTCATGTTCACTTTAAAAGGAAACCATCTTGTTCCTCTCTGCTTACCTCCTTGTCCCTCAGGTATTGATCCAGAGTTGGGCTGCTTTACACCTAGGCCCAAATTCTATTCCCTTGAACTGTTTTTTATTATTGTTATTTCCTGCCGGGAAACCCCAGCACAGTGTGGTAGGCAGGAAACTGTGTGATGGTGGGAAAATCCTGTCAGGTGGTGTCTAGCCTTCAGGAACTCCATCACAAACATGTTGTCTATGTTCATGTGAACCCAACGGACCAAAATTCTGTACACAAATTTCAGTAATGGAACAAATTTTTTGTTGTGGACTAAAATGGCCAACAGCCACATAACTCCTCCTCCTTTAAAGAGGTCCATATGAGTGTTTTGCAACTGTGGTATCTTTCTTTGTGCTTCTTTTTTGATCTCCAGGATGATCTGCAGCCTGCCGCATCTGAAACCAACTGGGAATCAGTCACAAGCCCTGTCTTGGTAAGTCATGTACTGGCTGTTTCGTGTGGGAAAGCAACCTGGAGTTAAGCTCAATTCCCTAATGAGGGAAATACCGAGAATACCACCAGGGAGTGACACACATCTCCCAAAATCAGCCCCAGAGACCTTTCCAGTAATGCCCTGGCTTGTTTGAGAAATGGTGAGTAGGCTGGGAGAGTTTGGACTGGCTTCTCTGCAAGACAGACTAGCTAGGCATTAGGAATGTTTGGACATGCCCCTTTAGGGTTGCCCAGGGCTTTTTTTGTAGAAAAAACCCAGCAGGAACTTATCAGCATAATAGGCCACACCCAACAACAGAAACTCATTAGCATATTATGCCACACCCCTGACAGTGTGGCTCATTAGCATATCAGGCAACACCTCCAAGGGCAACTTCCCTTGGCTTGCCAGGGCACACACACCCCCTTGAAGGGAAGGCAGTTGGAGGGGAGGGGAGGGGAGGGGAGGCAGTTTACTGCCTTCCCTTGGCTTGCCCAGGCAAGCCAGCCCTTGGGCAGACCAGGGAAGGCATGGGGAGGCATTGAAATGCCTCCCCGATCCTTCCAGGGGCCCCCTGGCCCACCCTAGAGTCGCCGGGGGGATTGCTCTCCAGGCCTTCCCTCTGTAGCCACACACACAGAGGTTTTGGTTGTAGTGGGCATGGTCAACTCCGAAGCCAGCCGGAACTCCGTTCCTGCCCCAAAATAGCCCTGCTTACAACAGGTAGGTTTTCTGACTGGATGAATGTACTCAGAACTCTAGAGAATCATGAAGACAGCATGGAACATAAGAGGGCAATGTTGTATTGGATAACAAGAAAGTCAAATAAAAACACTGTGGATCAGCAACTTGAGGAACAGATGAGAAAAAAATGCAGTACTATTTTGAAGTACTGAATAGTGGCGTCGGCTCCTATGCAAAGGCCTGGTGGAAGAGCTCCGTCTTACAGGCCCTGCGGAACTGCGCCAGGTCCCCCAGGGCCCGGATCTTCTCTTGGAAGCTCGTTCCACCAGACAGGAGCCGCCGCCGAGAAAGCCCTGGCCCTGGTTGCAGCCAACTTGTTGTCCTTGGGGCCTGGAACCACCAATAGGTGCTGCACCCCCAACCGTAGGGCTCTTGGGGGAACATATGGGGAAGGGCGGTCCCTTAGGGACGCTGGACCCTGGCCATCAAGGGCTTTATAGGTAAGAACCAGCACTTTGAAGCGAATCCGGTACACAATAGGCAGCCAGTGCAGTGCCTTCAGCACAGGTTGGATGTGGTCCCGTCTAGTGAGACCCATCAACAGCCTGGCCGCCGCATTCTGCACCAGCTGCAGCTTCTGGATGTGCGACAAAGGCAGCTCCATGTAGATTATTCCTGATTTATTTATTACTGGTATTCCTGATTTATTTATTACTGGTATTCCTGATTTATTTATTACTGGTATTCCTGATTTATTTATTACTGGTATTCCTGATTTATTTATTACTGGTATTCCTGATTTATTTATTACTGGTATTCCTGATTTATTTATTACTGGTATTCCTGATTTATTTATTACTGGTATTCCTGATTTATTTATTACTGGTATTCCTGATTTATTTATTACTGGTATTCCTGATTTATTTATTACTGGTATTCCTGATTTATTTATTACTGGTATTCCTGATTTATTTATTACTGGTATTCCTGATTTATTTATTACTGGTATTCCTGATTTATTTATTACTGGTATTCCTGATTTATTTATTACTGGTATTCCTGATTTATTTATTACTGGTATTCCTGATTTATTTATTACTTTTTAAATACTATATATGCATTGTACAGCATTATTAGACCATCTGTATGTAATTGGTGCAGAAATATTGATTTTATTAGGAGAAAATCAGCACAAGGAAACAGAAAAGGTTCCTGATTTATTTATTACTTTTTAAATACCATTTATGCATTGTACAGCATTATTAGAACATCTGTATGTAATTGGTGCAGAAATAACATTCGAAGTGTATTGATTTTATTAGGCGAAAATCAGCACAAGGAAACAGAAAAGAGTGTGAAAGCTTGCACAAAAGAAGAAGCAAAATTTAAATGGGGATTTTTTTTTTAGCTGAACCTATAAAAATGAGAAATTTGATATCATCCCTGCTGGGCAACATGCCTGAAGAACCTAAGTGCTATGGTTGCCATCTCCAGGTTGGGAAATTCCTGGAGATTTAGGAGGTAGAGCCTGGGGAGGGCGGAATTTGGGGAAGGAAGGACGTCAGCAGGTTATAACACCATAGAGTCCACCCTCCAAAGCAGCCACTTTCTCCAGGGAAACGGTTATCTTTAATATGGGGATCAGTTATCATTCTGGGAGATCACCAGTCTGCACCTGGAGGATGGGAATCCTACTAAGTGTCAATAGGCAGCTGCAACATGTACTGAGGAGTGTCGCCCTTCTGAGAAGATCGATTTCACTGGACTTAGAAGGGTCGATTTCACTGGACTTAGAAGGGTGTACCTCTCTTTAGGATTGCAGTGTGTATTACCTTATTTGCTCACCCGCGGGCCTGGAGGATGGGAATCCTACTAAGTGTCAGCTGCAACATGTACTAAGGAGTGTCGCCCTTCTGAGAAGATCAGTTTCACTGGACTTAGAAAAGTGTACCTCTGTTTAGGATTGCACTGTGTATTACCTTATTTGCTCACCCCCTCCAAGGGGTTGGCAAAATTGAGTCTAATTCCTGTTTCCAGGCCCATAGCCAGGATTTTGTGGCTTGTGGGACAATTTTTATTTTCTGGTGCGGCTGAAGTTCTCAGTGCAGAAAGAAAAGGAGGGTAGAAGTTGAAGAGAGTTTTGAGGCAGTCTCTTCTCTCTCTGAGTCTTTTCAAGCTGTCTATTCTACATCGATGTTATTAACCAGTGAGGATTGTGAGGCACTCCAAAAGGATCCTGGCCCCACTGGTGGACCTCTACCAGGATAGATCATTAACTGCAAGCTGTCAGCCACTTTAGATGACAGCTCTCAGCTGCTGCAAGTTAATCACATCTGCCAGCCTAAGAAACAGTTCTGATAACAAACCTCCAGGTGGGGGTGATGACTTCTACAGTCAAGAAAGCTAACACTTAGGCAGAAAAACTCTCTCAAGGAAGACCAGTTTCTTGACACAGAGTTAGAAGGAATCCTAGTAAAAAGTAAAGTATAGGTAAAGGTTTATCTTCCTCGAAAGCCAGTCGAATCCGACTCTAGGTGGCGGTGCTCATCTCCGTTTCCAAGCCAAAGATCTAGCGCTGTCTGAAGATGTTTCTGTGGTCATGTGGCCAGCATGACTAAATGGCGAGGCGCGTGGAATGTTGTCACCTTCCCACTAAAGTAGTACCTATTTATCTACTTGCAATTTCTTGCTTTCGAACTGCTTGGTTGGCAGGAGCTGGGGCCAGAGATGGGAAGCTCACTCTGTCACGCAGCAGTAGGGTCTCGAACTGCCGAGCTACCGACCTTCCAGTCTGCAGTTCAGTGTCTTAACCTCTGAGCCACCGCAGGCCTAGAACAGATCCCAGAGGTCACCTACTCCGACACCCTTGCTCAGTGCGGGAATTAGTCAACTACAGCACTCCACTCTGCTTAAAGGAGCACATGCCTTTAAAAAATGTTTTTAAATGATGGGGGGAAATTACATGAGAAATTCTTGTGGGGCTGTGCCTTTAAGAAAAGGAGCAGAGCCCCCAAGAAGCCCCACCATAGCTACGGGCCTGCCTGTGTTACCTCAAGGAGTGATTCTGGGAAAGGCCTGGTCAGTGCTGCCCTTGTGGCCCAAACATTGCATCCAACAACTGGGTAAACGATACCACCAGTCAAAATGGGCTTCCACTATGCAATTCCCATCCCCACATGTATATATGAACCCTGTACTTCATGTTCTGTAACTTCTGTTGAATGGCTGGATAAGCTTCAGTTATGTCTTGTTTAAGTTTTCTATTTTGTTTTTACATGAGGCCACTTGCATATATAAGTAACCATGAAACAACCATTGGCTTTTAAAAAAACCTAAGATACTGTGTTATTTTCTTAAAAGTGTAATCTCATTCTGAATTCTTTTCTCTGCTATCTCTCTCTGAAGAATAAGAACATTGCTAGTGCCTCGGCCTTCAATGTTTCCTATACAAGTAAAAACCTACTGAATATTGTTGAATAGTAACAGAGAGGCGGATTGTGTGGGAAGTCAAGTGTTGTCTCATTGTACCATTTTTCTTTTTGAGCCACAGTTTACTTGGTGAAAGCTTTTCTGTGGGTCAAATGACAATT